CCTTGCAGCTATATTTGCTGTGATCAGTGGGAATAAAGTAGTTTTAATATGTTTTTAAGTGAGAACGTCCACCTGAAAACTTAATCATTGCAGTCAGTTCATCCAGATTACAATCCTACCTTCTAATATTATTTCTGTCGGAGCCATTCAGACCCCCACATACCAGCGGTGCGCTGTCAGTAGCGTTCATCGCGGCAGCTGGTAGGTGTTTTTCATCTAAATAATCTAAACTGCAGGCACCAAGATAATAAAAGCGAACATATTCTGCCGGCAGATTTCTGCATTTTAAGATAATTTATGCATCAATAAACTGTTTCAGAGGAGTGATCACAGCGCTCTGTGTCATCAGCGATGTGTCTGTCTCAAGGCCAGCTCCCAGGTTTGATTAATACTTTGTAATACTCCCGCTCTATTTTTAAATACGCAGTAGAGGTATTTAAACGTAGTAGAGGACATGTACCTGTATATGAAATCCACGCCCTATAATCCGGTGCACCTTATGTGTGTGTTAAATACAGTAATGGCACACATAACTGAGACTGCGCCCTTTAGTACGGTGTGCCTTATGGTTTTGAAAATACGGTAGTTGTAAAATTGTAGCTTTCCTGTACCAGTCTGACCTTTTAGCACCCTTTGTAGCTATCTAGACAGAATCAAAGTGACAAAGGCTTAAATAAAAACTAAAGGCTTGAATCAGAAACCAAAATTTAATTATAACAAAAGACTAAGAACAAAAAAAGGAGATTTTGTGTCTAGCAAAAACAAGGATATGTGTTTTTTGTTCAGATTTCAGTATCTTTAATTTCATGGAAACCTGCTGAGCAAAAAAAAGGCATTTTAGGCTAGTATTGCTTGGCTTACCTTTTCGGAGTTAAGAAGCAGATGCCCATTTGCTCGAACAGCTTGTGGCCACTTCCCACTGTAAAAGGAAATAAAAGATTGTTTCTTTTATTAAAGGATACTCTCCTTGTTACACTGATTTCACAAAATCCATTTCCCTGTTTTGTCGTTGTGCCAGTGGAGAGCAGCGTCTGACACTTTGATACAAAGACAAACAACACAATTATAAGTAAAATCCAGATTCAGTGCCTCCGTTAGTGCCCCACACTCAGTTACTCAACGAGTTTTAAGCCATTTGGTGACTGCATCTGCTCACTCATGATGGTAAAATACGGAAAGAAGCTGTTCAGATCAGGATAGAAAGATTTTAAGAACAGTGCTATCACTATGGAAATTATTAACTAAATAATTAACTCCTTCACACCAGTCATTGATGTCAGATTATTTGTTTTCCAAAATAAAAACTTCCTAACAGTTAAATGAGAACAGCTTTTAACATTGGCTATATTCCAGCTGTGGCCTTTTAAGGAACGTATAGATATAGGTATAACAGTCTCATGCTCGAAAAACACGAGTATAAGAATCTTCACAGAATCTTTCAAAAAATCCTGGATCCTGATGGTACAAAGGAGTATTGGGTCCGGGCTAGAGATTTTTTTTTTCCTTCTATTTTGAGAATAAAGTTGTAACATTACGAGAAAAAACTGGTAAAATTACAAGAATCAAGTCGCAACAAGAATAGTCATAAAATTACGAGAATAAAGTCGTAATATTAAGAGAATGAAGTCTTAAAATTACGAGAAACACGTATCTTATGACAACTCTTACAAGAAGCACTTTCTTCCCTAAAATGAGGAATGTCGAGCATCATGTGAAGTTATACTTAAGCACATCAGCATCAAATTGGGCAGTATGTCAAAGTGGACACAGGTTGCTGTTTGGTGATGGTGGTCAGCCGTCATATGCTGGTCGGAGCTCAAAGCTTTCTTTCTGAAATGGGTGGTTGTATGATGACTTCATTCTCGTAATATGACTTCATTCTCGTAATGTGACGGCTTTATTCTCCTAATGTGACGGCTTTATTCTCCTAATGTTACGGCTTTATTCTCCTAATGTTACGGCTTTATTCTCCTAATGTTACGGCTTTATTCTCCTAATGTTACGGCTTTATTTTCTACGCTGTTGTGTACAGAAACATCTCTAATGCAGACCTTTCCAGGCTGGGGAAACTGATCAGCCGGGCAAGCTCAATGGTCAGCGCTAAGCTGGTCTCTCTGGAGATAGTGGCAGAGAAGAGAGCACTGCATAGACTCCTGTATATTCTGCACAATGCCAGCCATTAGCCTGTACATGGTCAGGAGAAGCTTGTACAGTGGGAGGCACACAGATTCATGCATGCAATTAGAAGTAACCGCATTCCCACACCAAGATTACAGTAAAGTCCAGCAACAATGGACTCCTTGCAAGCAAGCTTTTAAAGCTCAAAGCCTATGGAGATATATCTACAAGCTTGGGGATTAGTAAAGAGAAAATAAAGATAAAATCTCAATTGCAATATTAGTTAAAAATAATGGCAATTTTTATTTTTGGCACAATCGTTCAGCCTAAACCTAAAAATTCTAAAATATATCACCAATTAGGCAGTGTCTGTGGAGAGGGAAGTCTGGGTGACTCTCCGAAAACTGCTGCCCCTTTGATCGGGTCCCAGACAAGAGGAAGACGACGAGTACAAGTACCTCAAATTAAGCTAATATCTGGTGTTGCTATAAACAAAATTGTCTCGGAATTCAATTTGTAGAAAGTTCGACTGTTAGTTGGCCTCATAAACGTTCCCTGTATTGAAGAGATTCATGGGAAAAGCTATTATTGAAGATTTGGGTTTACCATTCAAACATGTAAATGAGCTAAATAATGCCCCTGTCACACCTGGATGATTTAGGCCAGCGTATGCCTGACGTTTGAAAAATCTGGCAAAAATGCTGGCATACATTGGATAAGTTATGGGTATGTTTTGTATAAGTTATGAGCACGATGGCACACATCGACATATGGCAAGTACGCCATACGTGGGCATAAGTTTCAGGTAAGTTATTTGATCGTTGACATACGTTAAGTGAAAGGGGTTTATCCAAAACCTATGAGTAACTTTTGAAAATGTATGCATTATTAATGCATATCAACATTTGACATATTCCAGACGGCCGTTGCACATGTTTCACAGGAGGAAACTATCAGTTCTCCTCCAGGCTTCATCCCTATCATAGGGTGAGCAAGAGGGTGAGTGTGATGAATCCTGCCTGCGTTCACGACAACGACTAACAAAATTCCAAGCAGAAATGCCCTGAAACTGCTGCAACTGCAAACCTTTCTTTTTCTTAATATATTTATTTTTATATATCTCTTTTGTGGGCTGTAATAGCAGCTAGGTTAATACAGTAATCAAAGAAATCCTTTTATGCAGGCCGGGATACTCCGGGCGCGTTGCTGCCCCCCTCAGGACACTGGCTTGTGACATGTCATGGGCATTACACTGCCGTGCATTATGCAAAAGTTAGATTGTTGTTGGACATAAGTTCTGAATTCCTTATGAAGATGCTGTGTATATGCCCAAAATTGAAAAAATACATGGAAGGTTCAGCTTATGTCAGCGTTTTAGAAGATTCTGGAATGTCAGGCATACACTGTCTAAATCGTCAAGGTGTGACAGGGGCTTTGGGAACACAGCAAACATGGCAGACAATGATTTGATGGGACCAGAATCAAACCTTTAGGCCTCCCTGGAAAATGTCAGTGTGCTTTAGGAAAACTGGTACAACACATCCGTCTGAATACATCATTTCCACTGCGGAACATGGTGGTGACAGCATGATGCTGTGGGGATGTTTTTTTTTTGCAGCAACAGTGAAGCAAGACAATTGATTGGAAGATGGATGGAGCTAAATATAGAGCAATTCTAGGGGAAAATCTGTTAAAACTGGAAACCTAGTCAAAGTCCAGACCTAAACTGAAAACATTTGACAACTAAAAATTGATGTACAAAGAATCTCTCTGCAAAGTGGCTCACGCACATTAAGTATAAACAAAGAAAAACTGGCCAAACATCTATTCTGTTGCTGTGAAAAAAGGGGAGATGTCTTTCAAAAGACCTGCAGCTGTAGTTAGCTTCAAAGTAATTTCACAGTGAAAATCCATACAAGACTGTTTAGATTTTTATTTGTATATAAAATATAAATGCATGCTTTTTTCTCTTCAGTTTCTTTATATATCTTTGCGTTTGTCAAACATATTGAATTTTACAAAAACACATCAGTTTAAGTTGTAAAGTGGAAATCTGTGATAAAGGCGAATTGCTGTAAGTATGGTTGCAAAACTCTGTATTCATTAAGTTTGTTCTGACCTTAACAACTTCTTACTTTAGACTAAAGAAATATAACTCTAAAAGGCGAACCCAATTTACACCAGCAGGTCAAATGAGGAAACCTCACCTGTCTTTAGGCCACATGGCTACATGGTTGTAGAGATAGTAGGACAAATGATTGGGCACCAGATCCTTTCCAGACACACGGACATCCACTGGATACCAGAACTCAAACTCCCTTCTCAGCCTCTGTAGGTGTTCCCTGGGTATGTCAGTCTTGGGGAAAGGAGATGACTTAAAGAAGATGAAGTCCCACACCTCTCTGGTCATCTGCTCTGGTCTGTAGAAAAATGAAAATATAGTTAAGGCAAAGCAAAGCTAAATACCAGACATATAAACTGCAAATGCTGGGTGTGAATGTGTGCTTTAAACAAACTATTATTTTGTTGGGAGAGAAACACATTTAACTGCTTACAGCAAACGCAATTTAAAGTTGTAGAATACAGGCTATTTTTTGTCAATTGGGTTTCATTGGTCGAGTGTTCGAAGACATTTTGACAGAATATATCATAACTCGTGGCCTTGAAAGGTCTGGTTGTTAGATAGCAGAGAAAAAAAAAATAGGTTACAAAGAAGGGATAAACCACCACCCCAGATACGAATAGGTTTAGTTCAATATTTGCTTCAATAGCAGGTCTGTGCTTGGTGCATCCTTACCTGATGCCCAGTGGCGAGTCTCCTTGTCCGTTCAGCACACCTCCCTGGAGGAGGTGGGCTACAGTGTAGTAAGCCATATAGATAGTCGAGTCTGATAAAGACTCGATCAGCCACTGCTCGTCCCAAGGGAGCCGTGTTCCTATGGTAACCAGGTGGTCCAGTCGAAGAGGGAAATCATAGAGACAACCATGGATACAAGTAAACAGAGATCAAAGAAAATTATATAAACAACAATTTACTTCTTTAAAATGATAAAATGTTTTTTATAAACATGTCGTCTTTTAAACTGGGTTCATACTCAGCCAATAACAACAAACAAAAGCTTCTATTAAAATTTTAACTTCTTAAAATAAATAAAGATCAGGGCCGCAATTAATGACTATTTTGCAAATCGATTAAACTGTTTATTTATATTTATTTTTTCGATTAATTGATTAATAACCAGAGAGCCAAAGGTTCCTTAAAGAAGACTTTTTGCAAATCAAAGGTGAAACTACAAACTTTTCACTAGGAGTTCTGGATAGAACATATTGACAGGCGAAAATCTTTTTTATCTTAAATGCAAAATGTTTACATATTTTTTTTTTTACAATTTTGGTATAATTACTGCTCTAAGTGGGTCTCTCTGTCAGCTGAAGGCATGTTTTACGGCCTCTATACTCCAGTTATCGATTAATCAACTAATAAATTAGTTGACCAAATATTTTAATAATTGATTAATCATGATTAGATTTTTTTCAGCCCCAACAGAGATAAAGGTGTTACCAGAAAACAAAACCAAACTCATTCATCCCTTTTATCAGATAACCTGGGTTTTATACACTGTGAAGATGTATTTTTGCATTCCCTTTTTAAAGCCATATTCTTAACATGATGTTGATTGCTTCAGAGCCTCTTGGCTCATGTTGTTGTGTAATAAGTAGTTGTGGACATATATCGTATCAGTTATCATTATAAGGAAAAAACTAACTAACGAGATCCTCAAACTAATGAGGTGTCTCTGAGGGCATCTAAACATTTCTATTTAGGTTTCAAAATACAACTAAACTGAAGTGTTGTTTGTAGAGCATCCTTTCTGCATATTAAGCTCCTTTTTTCTGGCTTAAAATTATCAATTCAAAAAGTAAGAATAAAAACTATAAAATAAATAAAGAAAAACACATTTGGTTTAGTAAAGCCGATGGATGTTTTCTGTCTTTAGTATGACTGAAGCTGTAATCATTATCAAACAAATACTCGTTTCATGTTTGGAGGAAGAAATGCATATTGTCTTATGTTTAAATCTGGAAGAAGGTAATCCATTTTACATTTTATTAAAGGCAGGCTAAATGGAGATGGGGTTCTGCAGTAAGAGCCAACAACAACAACAAGCCAATAATGTACTACTCTGGCCTGAAATGAATTCTTAATTGGCCTCAAGCTGCATCTATTCCTGCATGAACACAGGCTGAATCCTGGGTACTTATGACCCATCCTTAGTCTCCATCTATTGTTCGTCAAAGAAATAAGCAGTTAACATACAGTTTTTCTACTGTTTGTTACGTGGCTGTTGGGGAGAAAGGTAAAAAGCAGAAATAGAACTAAACCATAGAGGCTTTATGTTATTGTGCACATTTTACCAACTGTAGACAGAGCTACTTACCAAGCCCATAGGTACGAGAGCATGCATGTTCCTGTAGCCAGGCTAAAGTTGCCTCGAAGTTTCTTCTCGTCTCGTCACAAAATCTAGAATTTTGCCAAAGATTAAAAGCAAAATTATTTATCTTTCAATGATTTACCTTAGACTTATTTAGTTCCTGCTGTTCCCAATAACAGCTAAAAAAGAAGGGTGTAGTCAAGTATTTCAATTAAACCAAATGAGTGTTCCTGAGCTATTACCAGAGCCTTGAAAAGTGAGTACATATGAAACAATTTTCTTTCTTAAAGTCATTGGCTTACGTTTCCAGTGACTTCAGAGCCTCATTGGCCTGCTGTTTCCACTCAGCATCCCCGTAATCCAGATACCTGCAAAATACCAAACATACATCTACTGCAGATACTGAACAAAACACAAATGTAATATTTTTTATATGAATTTCTTCATATGAACCAAATAAAACCTCATCATAGCCAGAAATTCAAAAACTACAAAAAATACTGGTAATTAGAAATAAAAAGAATTGAGACAACATATAAATAGAACGCAGTAGACTCGAACCAACAACCCCTGACAAGCACTTCATTTTTTATCCTAGATATTAAAACAATTGATAAATGTTAACTATAGCTTTTGTTTGGTGTAAGAACAGTTAATGCTTTTTCTATTTTGAATGTTAGATGTTTAAATTTTCTTTTAACAGTATGTTTTACTCCAAGTTATAAAACTGTAGCAACTTTACATCAACACACACCTGCTAAAAAAAAAAAATGTTTTTTTTTTTCCCTTGATAAACATCTCAGAGACACTCACCACTGGTCACAAAGCGCCACCACACACTCATCAGCTGAACGAGACATGACCTGTTTCTCAGGCTCCATGTAAATCAAAGCCTCACCCTGTAACAAATAAGCATCCAACAAACTGATAATTCAAAAATAATATAAATTTGGATGTTACAGACACAAAGGAATCTCACACAAGGGCATCTCTGCACAGAGGCAAGAATTAATTCAAGTTGGAGCTAAATGTTTTACCTTCTCAACCATCATCTTCTGGATTGGCTTCTTCACATCTTGGACCTTTTGCCCCTTGTAGCCCTCAACTAGCATGATCTGAGAGACACATTCACAGAGGCTCACTTACACTAATGTAAAAATAGATAAATATGTGCAATATTTTAAGTCAGACAGGAATTTTGTGCAGATAATCTCAGAACTGTACACACTGATGGCTGTACTGAATTTACCAATGTGATGGTCTGGCAAAATCTTTACAGAAAAAGAAAACCTAAAATGTCTCTTTTCTTATATAAATTCAGGTTGCGCTCAGATTTTTTCGGGAGCAGGCCAGTTGAAAGAAACCCATACCTCACTTTAGCAAATTCATTTCATAGTCGCTCCATGTTACTGCAAGTTATAAAGATTCCTTTCAAACCTGAAGTTAAATCCACCGGGGGTTTGGTTTAAGCGGCTGATTGAAACTCACCCCTTCATAAAATCCTTTCAGGTAAACCTTCTCTTTGGCTTCAGCCAGTTTCTCTTTGTCATTCTGGCTCTGAATCTTCAATTCATCACAGACCAGAGGGGCTGAAAGGTTTCCGTAGCCTGGTATTTCAATGATGGGAACCTGAGGTGCAGACATTCAGAAAGAAAACTAAATATGTAAATTGAGACTCATTCATTAAATAAGAGAGTTCAGTGCCAGTGTAGCAAAAAAAAAGACTTTTATAAGGTTTTCTTACCGGTTCAAAAGGCAACACCATCTTATCCTCAATTCCATATTTTTCCCTTAGAGCCTTTAGGAAGTGAAATAATTTATTGATCATTTTAATAACCATTCAAAATCTATGAGGTTACCACAAATTTAAACTGATTCTGTACAAATTAAAAAGCTATTATTTGAGAGGAAAAAAATAGCACTTGGTTATTGCAGAGTAGAAGTTTGTATCTGTTGTGTCACCTGTTTCTTTTTTATGTCCCTGAGAGCAGCAATGTCATCAGGAGCATCAGATGGCACACTGGTTACAACCCCAGTACCTAAAGAAAAGAAAGAGAAAAGAAACACGGATGGAAATACAAACTAATTTTATTCATTCTATGTGGCTCCAAATTTAATAAATGCCCCATGCTGCCACATTTCATTATCTGCTGCGCAACAACCACTGGAGCAACAGACCAACTGTGAAAAAGGACACAAAAACATGATCTCATTTACTCTTGCTCATTACACTCCATAACCCTTCAAGACAAGATGACAGATTGAGCACGAGAAATTCATTATTATTCATATGGATACTGTGACATTTCAGTTTAGTGGTTCAGAAATGCAATCTATGAATATTTTAGTAACTAAATAGCAAAAGAGAAAATATCTTCAATATGGTGAGTTTGTTTGGGGGAAAGGGCAACACAAAACCTAGAAACACACAATGTCACTATGTACACTACTTTTTAGAAAAGTATTCAAACCCTTCAACCCTTCTCACATTTAGTTTAGTTATAAATGTCAACTACAACATGAGGAGTGTGGGGGCTGTCTGTAGTCAGTAGGGTTGGGCTTTATTTGAAATTTAACGATTCAAATGATGCCATCTCCACTGCTTTTCCTGCCAGAAATATGTTTTTCCTCTCCACTGTCACTACAAGCATGCTTAGTGTAAGGGATTGCATTTGAGTCAATGAGTCGGTGCAATCAACTGGTTTTCCTTAGATAGAAAAATTTGAATCAATTTGACTGTGTGATCTGGTTGACCTGCAAAGTGCCTAGAGATTACAAGTTGTGAATTGGTGCTATATAAATAAACTGAATTGATTCTGATCTGCTCTGATTATGGTTCCTATCGATTCTACAGTCAGACTTTTAAAAGGAAGGAGCATAAAAGTAAACATGCTGTAACATGAGTTTGTCCTAAATAAGGGCATCCCTTTTATCAGATAACCTGGGTAATCTAAAATTAAATTCCTTGAATATCTAACTTTGAATGAACAATACTATAAATGATCACATAGCTATTTTTAACCAGTATATAAACATCAAACATATGAACGGATATATTCTTATTTTCTTTCACACAGTTTAACATTTACAATCATCTTTCTTTTTCAAACATCATTAAAACATTCAAACATATCCAAAGTCTGACCCTGCAGGTACTAATACTCTATAATAGGCATCCCCAAACTCTGTCCTCAAGGCGCCCTGTCCTGCAGGTTTTAGAGGTTTCTCTGCTTCAGCACAGCTGGTTATAATGATTGCAGTAGACCAAAAGCCTGTTAATCA